TTCTACTTTGAAAGCTACCTTGGACTTCATTCACTAGAGGTAAAGATCCACAAGTTAAAAAAAGTAATTGTTTAAAAGAAGAACAAAACTATTTAAGCAATTCTTAGTACACCTACATTAAAACACCCAAGTTTCCAGTCCAGTAAGAATAAGAATGAAAAATGAAGCAATCTATCACAGCTATGTACTCTAGAATTTTGTTTAGATGCCATCTAGTTGGGTATATGTAGTATTCATGTAAACATATGATAGTCTATTTCAAGGTGAATAACAAAATTCAAATTTACTTGTTTTATTCCTTTTGTTTTCTCTTCATTCCATGTAAAGGAACCCTATTCTTTTCAATGGAAAAAAGAAATGTTAGTAGAACAAAGAGTGAGTGGAGGGGATGGTTGGGATGACCAAAACTCTCTGTCACACTTTACCAGATATATAACCAGAAAAATGAATTTTAATACATTGGCTTAATTCCCAGCTGGAGGAAATAAGCAATCATATTTCTTTATGTCATGCTTACTTTATGGTCTGTTGTTTATTTACTATGATTATAATTAGTGTAAAAATGTTTCTTTTAAAATGAATGTAACCATGCCCTAGAAAAATTTTGTAAGATTTGAGTTAATTTAGGCAATGCAGAGAAATATAGCAAGTGTCTCTTAGTTTTAAGCTTATGATATAAAAGTATAACAGATTTAAATGATACCCCTCCCCTAAATAGCCCATATATTCCTAATGTCTTTACTCAGTAGCACAGAAAATAAACACTCTCTTAAAATTCCATATTCTTATTTGTTCATTCATTCAACAGATTTTTAAGAATCTTCCATGTGCTTTACATTTTTCTAGGTCCTGGAGAGACAAAAAGAAGAGAGGGAAACATTTGTCTTCATGGAATTTATATCCCAGAAAAAGCATTTGAGAAAATTTCTACTATATGCATTCAATAAACACTTATTGAATGCCTCTGTAGTGTTTTCCTAGCTCCTATGTATATAAGTAGTTGAAGGAGATAACATACTTTGGTGGCTTCAATATCATCTTTCTAAAACATCCCTCAATCCTAAACTAATTGCTTCCTTGTCTGTGTTCCTGTGTGGCTTTATATGCACCTATGACATAACAAAGGTCACACTGCATTATACTTGTATACTTGTTTGTATACTTGTATACTTGTTTGAATGTCTCTCTTCCCCTTTGTGTCTCCATGAGGACTGTAACCCAGTTTTATTTATGTCTTATCCCCATGAAGAGCACAGTCTTGCCTGAGGGAGTGACTGGTGTTGAAGAGGGTTGAATATGTCACTTTTGCATTCAGAAAGCTTTCATTTCAATGGGGATGGAAAAGGAGATAGGAGAACCCATTCATTAAGTCAAGTTCTATAAGAGATAGGCTATCCATCGTGTAAATTTTCAATTAAAAGATCCCCAACAGAATAACAATTTAAAGAGAGAGAGAGCATTTATTTAACATGCTAAGTGAGGAATGTTAGTTGGCCACTTCATAAAAGAAAAAAAAAGATTATTTTCCTAGATATTTAAATAAAAACTTAAGGGAATCATGTTTATATATGACAGCCTTAGTCTCAGATTAGCTAAAGCAAACAAGCCCACGTATGAAATAATTACATCCACAGAAAGATAAGCATTTACTAAATCTTTGGCAAAAACCAACTTAGAATCCCCCTACCTATCTGAGTTTCCACATATTTGAATGGTGAAAAATAGTCAAAGCATCTAATTGGAGGATCAGCAGGGAAACAGTAAGCGGATGCTCTGCCCTGAAGAATTGTGTTTCATTCCCAGTCCTCCTTTGTCACATCCTCATTCCTCTTCCCAGTATACACAGAATCAGTGCTTAACACTTTGACTGAAATGGGCAACATCTTCTGGTGGCTGTTGTTTAACTGGTCACTTATATTCTTGATGTAAATGGTGTCCTCTTCTCTTTATTTTTTTTAATGTGTATTTATGAGAGAGAGAGAGAGAGAGAGAGAGAGAGCAAGGAAGGGCAGAGAGAGAGAGGGAGACAGAGGATCTGAAGCAGGCTCTGTGCTGACAACAGAGAGCCCCCCACAAGGCTCAAACTCATGAACCTCGAGATCATGACCTGAGCCATAGTTGGATGCTTAGCTGACTGAGCCACCCAGCCACCCCAGTGTCCTCTTTCTTCCTCTTTAAATTCATCTGCTCAGACATAAACCATATTGTCAAGGAGTGTAGGAGCTACATGCCTTCATATTTTGCATCATATATAATGTGTGATATATTTTTGACACACTCTACTTTTTTAATATTTATTTTTGAGAGACAGAGAGTGAGAGAGAGAGCACGTGTGCGGACATGAGTGGGGGACGGGCAGAGAGAGAGAGGGAGACAGAGGATCCAAAGTGGGCTCTGTGCTGGCATGGGCTTGAACTCAAGAATTGTGAGATCATGATCTGAACTGAAGTCAGACACTCAACCAACTGAGCCACCCAGGTGTCCCTGACATACCCTACTTCTGAGTCTTATTTTCTTGAATGAGTCAGAAAGAGGGTGAATGAGTGAGTAATCAGTAGAAATTAGATAAACAGAATTCGGTTACCAGTAAAATTTGAACAATACCTGTTTATTGAATGCCTGTGACTCAGAAGAACTTCATGGCTGTTGAAAAACAGCTCTTCTAGTGATCGAAAATGCACCATTGTTTCACAAAGTAAGAGTTTTATTTTAAAGTTTATTTATTTATTTTGAGAGAGAAGGAGGGACAGAGAGAAGAAGAGAGAGAACCCCAAGCAGGCTTCTTGCTTTCAGCACAGAGCCTGACTTGGGGCTCAGTGTCATAAACCCGTGAGATCATGACCTGAGCCGCAATCAAGAGTCCGATGCTTAACTGACTGAGCCATCCACCTGCCCCAAGAATTTTATTGAGAAAGAAATAGATCCGACTTGGGGTATTCAACAACAAAACAGGAAGGTGAAAGTAATGCCCCCACTTCCCTTGGCATAACCATTTCATTTTTTCTCCACCTCATCGCACCTTACCCTCTCTCCCAGAAAGACTCCCTTCCTTGGGGAACACTTGGAAATTATTCACGTTGTCGGACTGATAATAGGCCCAGCTCATGGAATGCCTTGAGGACCTTTCACATAAATTGACATTTCTAGATTTAAATAAGAGGTTAAGGGAGCTTTCTGAATTGTCACATTAGTTGCAAAACTCAGTACTTTCAACACAGAGTGGGACTTTTATTGGAGAGAGAAGCGAAAGATGTCACTATGTATTTTGAATATGGTTTGAGTCATTGTAGACACAGCCGGAGGTCAGGCCCCAAAGTATTTTCACTGCCAGAGGGACAGAACAAGATCACCTGTCTCAAGAAAAAGGAGTCAACAGGGCCTAATTATGTGCTTCTCTTAGAAAGCTATATCATTTACTTCTTCTGGTGGCTTTGACCTATAATTATCACCTTCTTTGTTATGGTCCTTAAGGAGTCCAACTGCTTTGGCCATCCTAATGGTGGTGATCTGAGTAGTGCTGAGTGTTTGTTTACATTCCTGAACTTTTGGAAAGCACTTGCTCCCCACACTGTGACCCAGGCAACAGTGACTGATAGAGGAATCCCACTGTGCAGTTTCTCCTACGTTAGGTGATGAGCACTTGTGACCATGCTTCTAGCCCGACTTGAATGACAGCCTCTTATTTCAGAACCAGTAAGAACCACAGACATCTTCTTTTGAAGGCATCTCTAAGTGATGGCAGTTGTAGAGCAATTAAAACAAAGTCTGTGACTTTTTACTTAGCAGATACGATGTTTCTGTTTGCTGCTAATAGCATTATTTTTCTTCAGAGCAGGACAAAATAAAAGATCTGAAAATGTATCTATGTATCTCTATATATCTATATCTATCTATCTATCTATATGGTTTATTTTTTGCATAAAGGGTTGAAAATTTGAGTCAGTCGTACACACACACACACACACACACACGATATCCCTTCAAGAAAAATCAGTCCGAGAAAGGTATTTCAAGAGAAATGTAAATTAAACAAAAAATGATTCCCAAGCTTTTTTGGGCTGCAAGTGGCCATTTAGATGAATGCCTTCACCCCTGTGATATTGCCAAATATGCCAATAACAAGTGAAACCTATCTCAGATATTATTCCTAAACATTGTTGTAAACCGGAGGGGGGGGTGTTTTAAACTATGTGTCTTTATTTTAAGAATTTTAATCGCGGGGCGCCTGGGTGGCGCAGTCGGTTAAGCGTCCGACTTCAGCCAGGTCACGATCTCGCGGTCCGTGAGTTCGAGCCCCGCGTCAGGCTCTGGGCTGATGGCTCAGAGCCTGGAGCCTGTTTCCGATTCTGTGTCTCCCTCTCTCTCTCTGCCCCTCCCCCGTTCATGCTCTGTCTCTCTCTGTCCCAAAAATAAATAAACGTTGAAAAAAAAATTAAAAAAAAAAAAGAATTTTAATCGCTAGAAATGTTTAGCTAACAAATAGAAAACACCAATACAATATAATTATATTTTTAATCAGTGAATTTTGATCATGACAAAATTTCTTTTTTTTTTTTTTAATTTTTTTTTTCAACGTTTATTTA